CCCCCACATCCATCAGTCCTCAGTTTTTGTCAGCATTCAAGAGTCTCTCATGGTTTGCCTCTCTCCCTTTCCCCCACCATTTCCGCCCTTCTTCTCCCCCTTGTTCCTCCGTCAAGTTCCTCCTAATCCTCCTATACGTGCAAACATATGATATTTGTCCTTCTCTGCCTGACTTATTTCGCTCAGCATTACACCCTCAAGGTCCATCCATGTTGCTACACATGGCCGGGTTTCCTTCTTTCTCATTGCCATGTAGTATTCCATGGTATAGATAAACCACATCTTCTTGATCCATTCATCTGTTGATGGACATTTAGGCTCTTTCCATGTTTTAGCTATTGTGGAGAGTGCTGCTATGAACGAAAATCTACATTTTTAAAATTTATTTATTTTGAGGGAGAGAAAAAGAGAGAGACAGAGACAGACAAGCAGGGAAGGGGCGGGGGGGGGGCATAGAAAATCCAAAGCAGGCCCCATGCTGACAGTCTTATCCAGGGCTTAAAACTCACAAACCATGAGATCATGACCCAAGCTGAAGTCAGAAGCTTAACCGCTCAACTAAATGAGCCACCCAGGTAGCCCTGCAAATCTACATTTAAAAAAAAAAAAAAATAGGGAATTCAATTCACTGTTCTAGGGGAAACAATAAAATACCTGTTGCTTCACAGACTTAACAGTGTCATGCAGGTTGGCTTACAGGACAGTACAAACTGGATCTGTTAAGAAAACCACCACTCTTTTAACAATATCTGAATAGAGGATTAGGTCTGATGTGCTGAGATAAGTTATTAAAAGGAAGGTAGTAAACAACAATTTTACAAACAAGAAACTGGAAGACAACAAGGGAAAATTTAAGCGCAAATTAAAGCAAGGACTACTTTTAAAACTTTATGTTGGCAAATCCGCATGACACAAAACTTAGAAAAATCTGACTAAGAACATCATGATACCACAGAATATATTCTGAGCAATGGAAGATGATTTACGAGATAGGTCATATAGGGGCGCCTGGGTGGTTTAATTGGTTGAGCGTCCAACTTTGGCTCAGGTCATGATCTCACAGTTCATGAGTTTGCGTTCTGCATTGGGCTCTGCGCTGACAGCTTGGAGCCTGGAGTATGGAGCCTGCTTCAGACTCTCTATCTCTCTCTTCCCCTTCCCCACCCACATGTGTGTGTGTGCACGCACATGCTCTCTTGCTCAAGAATAAATACTAAAAAAAATTTTTTTAAAGACATAAGTCATCTATCAGAGCCAGGTTTTAGCACTTTATTTCTAGAACTTTCATTTAATGTTTATTAAATTTCTATACTAGTTATAAAATTCTCTACATACTTTAATCATTTATCCCATGCCTTATTATGTGAGTGCTTGACATCACCAAAAATAGTTTTGCTAATCACAGTATTTTTCAGAAATGTAATGTCTGACCTGCTCTCGAAAGTGAAGTTCAAAAAAGAGTGTAGCACTGTGGTACCAAAAAAGAAAAAAAGAATTACAACACCCTTTTCATGGCTTGAAGTCAAACATTCTTTTAAAACTTCTTTCTTATCTTTTCAAAGTCCTAATAATAAAGGAAAATTACTATGCAAATACATCACTATTTTGCTATACACAGATACTTGTACTTAGTAGGAAAGATCTGACAGGTGAAGTCAAGTATATGGAAAAAACAAAAACAAAACGTATACACTGTTATTTCAGGGAGGCCTGTTTCTGCTTTGGAAGATCACATGTGATACTTTGTTTTCCACAACATTATATCCATTATTCTTCCATTTCCTTAATTATTTTGGGCTCTGATTTCATTTGTTTCTCAACACTATCTCTTACCATGTTTTTAGGAATGGGTCCCAGACTTCTTCAACTCAAATGATTTTACACTTTATTACCCAAAAGTTACCTCTATTACACCATCTCCAAAATGGCAAACTTTGAATTTAACCTTCAGTGACAAAAACTTGTCTTACACCTCCTTCACTAACTACTCCCTAAGAAGCATATTCACAAACTTTATCTCCTGATACTCAGAACCCCAAACTCTCTTCCCATTCTCCCAGTGTGTCAATTTATTTCTGGCTTTAAGTATGCATCACTCCCAAGAGCAGGTCGCCTGTAATGCTTTTCTAGAAAGTTAGAATCTCTTAACCTTGCACTGTAGCCTAAAAATCCATAAATGCAGGTGAAACAGCAAGAACTGCTTCCTCGACTCTTAGGCTGCTGTCAGAATATCACATGTGCTGTGAAAATTCACGCTAAGGTATATTGGCAAAGTCCTCTTCTAGTCTATAACTTGGATATTAGCCTAAAGCACTAGCTGGCCTGAGAGGTTTTTTTTTTTTAATCATAGGTCAAAGAGACCCAGTAATTTATGCAGAGAAAAGAAGAAACTAACAGAAGGTGGGCACATATTATGCAAGGGAAAATTAACAGAGGAAGGCTGCAGAGCTGGGGACCTGGGCTTAAAATCTGTGACAGAGACCAGAAACTGCCCTTATGAAGGAGAGAGAATACGTCTTCCAAAATACAAGGGAAGACAAGAAAAATACAAGTAACTGTTGACATAAAGAAGATAACTGAGCTACCCCCAGGATCAATTTGTTTTCATAAAACCTGGGAGCAAGATGATGACGCAGGGGTGAGGGTTGGGAATAATGAAGGAGAAAGTACTACTGAACTCTCAACAGAGATATATTTGTTTGAAAGAGAGAGAAACCAGAGCTTTCCACAGTTCACAATGAAGAGAAAGAAGCATCTATCATGTACTAGCAGATGTGCACATGCTTCACTACAGACTATCTCAGGAGGCCACAAGATGGGGGACTAGTACAGCAAAGTTCTGCTAAAATTGAGAATTTTGTAAAAATTGAAGAATGTCACAAAATGTTAGTTGTTAAACACGGGGTAAGTATATAGGGGCTTCATTATACTATTCTACTTTTATATACTTTTGGAAGTGGTTATAATAAAAAATGTTTTAAAAAGGTGCCTAGCTATCATATGACCTGAGGGCCAACAGTCATGTTCCTCAGTAAACTCAACAATAATGGCTGAACTTTCCATAAGATTTTAGAAATTTCAGAGATGCAACTGGTTATGTTTATATATGTATACACATAAGGACTTTAAAATTCAATGAAGAGGCAAAAATAATTCTATTTTGATCAGAATGGGTTCCAAATTTGTTCTAGGGAGTGAGAAATACAAGTCTGCATTAAAATCAAGCTAAATGTGTTAGAGGTAATTAAAATCAAGCTAAATGTAGTAGGGCCAGAGGATGAAAGAAATGAGAAATAGTTTTTTACTATGCATATACCTGAAAAGGAAGATTATAAACACTTACTTCATCTCCAGAACTTCCTCTAAGTGTTTCCTTCTCTCCGCTCGAAGATTGGTCAAATGAGTTTCCTTTTCTGCCAGAGACTGTTGGGTAGAAGACAGCTTTGCTTTCATGGACTCCAGTTCCTGCTTTACTTTCTCCATGGCCATCAGCAACTCCTCCACCTATGGTAAGTATGAAAAAAGAGGAAAAACTGAACATTTTTATCAATTAAAGACAGAGGAGTAAAGTAACGGGCAATTCCTGGGTCTACAAATTAAAAAACACACACGTATCAAAAATTCTGTACTCTTCTTGGATCAAACATATATATCAAGACAATATACCAGATAAAGAAATAAATCTCTGGTCTTCCCCCTACTCTAATTCCTTTCAGGGTACACCAAAAAGAACTTTATTTCCTTTCTGATAAACACAAGTGCATATAAGGCATTAGTTCAAGAAGTCACACTCTGTCACAGTCAGTCCCTTTTGAAGATTTGGAAGTGGTCCACAAGTACTCATAGAAATAACAATATAACACAGATTAAAATATAGGAACAAAATCACAGAATATGTTTCTAGAAGGATTTTAGGACATAAACTTGACTAATAACACTCAGTATAAACATAAATAAGTCATTTTTATTCATCCAAATATTTTTCTGTTTACACCTTTAAAAAGAATTTCTTTTTGAAGAAATAACTAGAATTCAATCAGATAGTTTCTTGCTCTAATGCCAGGTAGGTAGGCAGGCTTTTCTCAAAGAAGGCAGGAAGAAAAAAGAGAAGTACATGACCATATAGAGAGGAGACAGGATGCTTTAAAAAGATTTTTTAAAAAATCCTGAGGGAAAGAACAGAGAACTCTAAAACACAAGGAACTAAGAGAACACAGTATGTACTTCATCCATCTTTCCACTCATGCTGGGTGGTGTCCAAATCAGAATTACTTAAATAGACATGTTCATTTTAATTCGGAAGCAAAATATATGCTGGCAAAAATGTGTTAATACCAAAAACCAACCTGAACCAGGTAATCAACAAGCCAACTGCACCAATCACAAGAGTTTATATCAGGTTGCTGCTTGCCAAGAAATAATTTTGGTGACAACAAGCCTTTTCAGAGAAGAGGTGGGGGATTTGCCATTCATTGACTCCTACATAAAACCAACTTGTGTGATACTAAAACTGAGAACAGTGTAGAGACAAAACTGCAATATAACAAATCAGAGTTGTTAACAGACCCCAGGATATTAGTGTGTTATACCCTACCAAAGTTTCCACATTGATTGGTAACAGCTGCTAAACAGTGATAGCAAACAGACACATTTAGTGTTTGGCACCTGAATCACCTTACTATGCGTATATTTTCAGAAGTGATCAAGTTAATGTTCTCAGTTAAAAGCTGTGAAAATACTGCTGTAAGAATATATATTATTATGCAGCTCTCCTCGGGTATGTATTCACGTTATCTACAAGCTTTATGTAAACATAAATCACTATCCACCCTTTAGAAAACTACCAATAAGGATGATTCCATTTTAATCTGTTTAATTCATGTAAAATCTTATTTAAAACTGAACTGAAATGCCACGGTATGTTCTTGTATCAAAATCACTCATGGGCAGCACCCTTTATAGAAGACCTAATAAAGTGTGGTATGTGTTCATCTTTGGTGAACTCACCTTAAACAAATTTCAAAATATCTCCCTCTCATCCTTCACTACTCGAAGGCATGGTATCAGTTTCTTACATAACTTAGATATTACATAAATACATAAGCAAACATGTAAAACAACTTATTCCTCCTCTTCTATAACAAAAAGGAAGTCCACTTTATATATACTCTTAGGAACCTAAAATTTTTGGTAAGCTTTTCATTGAAATACAACACAAATATAGAAAAATCCACAAATGATAAACATGCAACTTGAAGAATCTTCTCTAAGTTGAACACACCTATGTAATCAGAACACAGACAAATAAACAGAATATTAACAGTTCCCTAGAAATGTTTCTCATATCCCCTTTCCAGATGAAGACTAACCATTATTCTAGCATTCTACATCAGTTTTGCCTATTTAAGTTTACACAAATGGAATTATACAGAATGAAATTTTAAGTACAGATTTTCTTCACAGTGTTAGGTCTATGAGATTCACCTATGTTGTTGGGTATAATTATAGTTGTATAATTCTCTTAACTGTATGGAATTCCACTGTGTGAAAATAGCAAAATTTACTGAAGGCACTTTTGGCAAAAAGAAAAAAAACTTTTTTCCAGTTTGACTGGGAAATAACTGACATACACCAATCACTGTGTAGTTTTAAAGTAAACAGCATGATGGTTTGATTTACATAGATATATGTGAAATGATCACAATAGGGTGAGCTAATACGTATCATCACATATAAATACAATAAAAAGAAGAGAATGAAGAAAAAGCTGATTTCCTTCTTCTGAATTTTTTTAATGTTTATTTTTGAGAGGGGGAGGGGGGGACGGGGAGGGGGAGGGGGAGGGGGAGAGAGAGAGAGAGAGAGAGAGAGAGAGAGAGAGAGAAAGCACGGGATGGGCAGAGAGAGAGGGAGACACAGAATCTGAAGTATGCTCCAGGCTCTGAGCTGTCACCACAGAGCTCAACACAGGGCTCGAACTCACAAACCGTGAGATCATGACATGAGCTACAGTCAGATGCTTAACCAACTGAGCCATCCATGTGCTCACCCCCCACCCCCTGATTTCTTCCTTTTGATGAGAATTCTTAGATTTGCTCTCTTAACAACATTCCTATGTTTATCATAGAGCACTATTAGCTATACTCATGTTATACACTACATCCCTACTAATTTTATCTTATAACTGGAAGCTTGTAATTCTTGACTACCTTCCTCCACGTCACACTCACCCCACCTTCTACCTCTGGTAACAAGACTCATCTCTTTTGCTGTGAGTCTGTGTTTGGTTTTGTTTTAAATTTCACATATAAGTTAGATCACACAGTATTTGTCTTTCTCTAACTTATTTCACTTAGCATAATACCTGGAAGGTGGGTATATCCACATTTTAATTTAATTTAATTTAAAAAATAAAAATTAGTTTTCAATTTTATTGGAGTTTATCTAACTTTTTTCCTTTATATTTCTTTTATGTCCAGAGCTTTTTGTATACTGGATAAGAAAATTTTGTCTACTACAAGATCATGGAAGTATTCTTTCTTCTAAATCTTCTATTAAATTACATGCTTCACATTTAGAGTTATAATATATATGCAGCTGAATAAATACAGAGTAATGGTCAAAATTCATTTCTATCAATATGGATATCCAGGTAACTCAGCACTATGAACAGTAGGAGGACTTTTACAGCCATGGTAGGAAGGCACTTTCAGCCTACATGGCAAAAGATTAGAATTTATTTAAAGACTACTTACAAATTGTAGAAAAGATAATTTCACAATACTTCTTATTGTACATAAATACCTTTAAATTTCATAAATAAGCAATATGAAATGTTGTATGTATATAAAAAAGGAGTATGTATATATTCCAGAACCCAGAGCAGTACACACATCTATATACTCTTATACTTTGTATCTTTTATACTCACTAGCTTTATAAGTGCAATTATCCCAGTGTATACCCTAAGTTTCCTAAGATAGGTCATCACCACTCTTAATTTGTTATGCAATCCCTTCCATTTCTTTATTTTTGCTTTTGATACGTATGCCAAAATAAATCACTGCTTTATTCTATTAGTTTATGAACACTGAATAAATGGAACAACCTGACTTTCGTATTTCACCCAACATTATGTTTTTTCATATACAAAAGGGGCCTACTCTGTGTGTGTTTCTGAACCAAAAGGACAATGTACACCTGTATGATTCACCGCTCAGGAATTAAAAGCAGTAAGAGCCAACAACTTTGAACACCACAGCACCCAGGCTATAGTTTCCCACTAAATTGAAAGGGCTCCTTAAAAATACAACTGATTCTAGATTTGGGGCAAGAAATGTACAAAAGAGGAACTCTATGCAACTTATGCCAGAAAGCAAGAGAAATGGGAATCATGGCAAATAGAGATCATGACACAGAAATCCTTACGACAAAACAAGAAAAATATACTACAAGAAAGAAAACAAGGAAACTATACCTTCTGAATACAGAGACAAAAATTTTAAAAAATCAAACCCAGTAAGATATAAAAATTGAGATTTATCTTAAGAATACAAGGTTGGTTTCACACACAGAAAATAAATGTAATAAACCATATCAATAGAATATAGGACAAAAAAACTACATGATCATCTAAGTAGATGTAGAAAAAAAGTACTTGGCAATTTCCAACAACCTTTCATAATAGAAACAGTCAAGAAAGTACAAAGAAACTATCTTGGGGTGCCTGGGTGACTCCGTCAGTTAGGTGTCCATCTCTTGATTTTGGCTCAGGTCATAATCTCACAGTTGTGAGATCAAGCCCCACACTGGGATCCTTAAGTGTGGAGCCTGCTTAAGGTCTCTTTCGTTCTGCCCTCCACCACCCCTGCCTCCACGCATGCTCTCTCAGAGAAAACAAAAAAACAAAACAAAACAAAAAAACCTTTCTCAGCCTGATAGAGGGCATTTATGAAAAACCCACAGCTAATATAATCTTTAAGGATGAAGAACTTGGGGCGCCTGGGTGGCTTAGTCGGTTAAGCGACCGACTTTCGCTTAGGTCATGATCTCGCGGTTCGTGGGTTCGAGCCCCGCGTCAGGCTCTGTGCTGACTGCCAGCTCAGAGCCTGGAGCCTATTTCAGAGTCTGTGTCTCCCTCTCTCTCTGACCCTCCCCTGCTCACACTCTCTTTCTCCTAGAAATAAATAAAAATATTTAAAAAAAAAAAAAAAAGGATGAAGAACTTAATGCTTTCCCTCTAAGACCAGACCAAGAACAAGACTACAATGTCCTTTCTCACCACTTCTGTTCAATGTTGTACTGGAAGTAACAGCCAGGAAAAAATAAAATCTTGAAAAAATAAAATTGGAAGACTACCACTTCCTGACTTCAAAACTTACTATAAGACTGCAGGGTAGTGCTGGCATAGGATGGAAAAAAGAGATAAATGGAAAAGAACTGAGAGTCAAGAAATAAACCCTAACTTTTATGGCAATTTGATTTGACAAAAGTGTAAAGGCAAT